ATTTGGAGACAAATAATGAGGTTGGCCAGAAAATGTAGGACCTTGCTGGCCAAGCTAAGACATTTGAATTTTAATATCAATATCATGGGAATGTTTTCAGTAGGAAAGTGACACTAACTTTCTCTCTCTCTCTCTTATTTTTAACAAATATTTATGAGGTAATTGCTATGTCACTGAAATTCATACAATGAGTTTTACTTTGCCACTAAGTAGCAATATGATTTGGGGTAGGTCTTTTAGCCATTACACTATATCTTGTGACCTTAAAAAAGTCCACGTATTTAAAGTGTATATTGTAAGTTATGACATATGTGTACACACCTAAACCCATTACCAAAATCAAGATGATGAATATGTCAATCACTCCCAAAAGTTTACTTTTGCTGCTTTGCCATCTCTCCCTCACACTGCTGCCCCCAACTAGGAGCTAGGCAAGCTACGCTATCTGTGCAGGTTGCTTTGTATTTTCCAGAATTGTACATAAATAGAACCATTTATATAAATAATAGTATGTATTATTTTTGTCTGGCTTCTTTCACCCAGTGTAATTATTTTGAGATCTACCCTTGTTGCATGTGTCAATAGTCTGTTCCTTTTTATTGCTTAGTTTGTAGGGATAAAACAAAATGTGTTTATCCATTCACCTGTTGATGGATATTGGAGTTGTTTCCAGTTTTAAACTATGACATATAAAGCTACTATGAAAATGTGGATACCGTCTTTTAAAGGATATACGCCTTCAGTTCTCAGGGGTAAAGATCTAGAAGTGCAATGGCTGAATCATATGGTAGATGTATATGATCAACTTTCTAAGAGAATGCCCAACTGTTTCAAAAGTTTGTGTACCATTTTGACACCCCCACTAGCTGCTCCATATTCTTACCAGCACTTGTTATGGTCAATATTTTTTTTATTTTAATCATTATAATAAATGTGTAGTGGGTCTTTTTTTCTTGATTTTTAGAATGAGAGGAAGATCAGACAGAAACATGGATGAGAGAGAACACTGATTGGCCACCTCCTGCATGCCCCCCACTGGGGATCAGGCCCACAACCTGGGCATGTGCCCTGACCGGGAATTGAACCAGCAACCTCTTGGTGCAGGGCCGATGCTCAACCACTGAGCCACACCAGCCAGGCTGTGTAGTGTTTTGTTTTGTTTTTTAATTTATTTTTGTTACAGATGTCCCCCCTCCCCGCAGACACCCTCCTCCCTATATCCCCCACCCCCCGCCAAGCATTGTTGTCTATGTAAATGTGTAGTGGTTTTAAATATTGGTTTTGACTTGCATTTCCCTAATCATTAATGATGCCAGGCACATATTGGAATCCTAAGGCCAAATGTGACGGTGTTCGAAGGTGGGCCTTGGGGACGTGGCTGGGACGTGAGGGTGCAGTCCTCATGAACGGGATTAGTGATTTCATCAAAGAAGCCTACAGGAGCTCCCTAGCTCCTCCCAGCAAGTGAGGACACAGCAGGAAGTCAGCAGTCTGCAGCCCTGAAGAGGGCCCGCACCCAACTATGCTGGCACCTTGACCTGGGACTTCCCAGATCCGGAACTGGGAGAAAGCAAGCTATGTTGTGTGTAAGATGCCCAGTCTGGTATTCTGTTATAGCAGCCCAGATGGATTCAGACAGAGGCCATCTGCAAGCCAATGAAAGAAGACAGGAGAATTCAGACCTGTGGACACCTTTCTTGATCTTGAATTTCTTGCTTCTGAAACTGTGAAAAATGAACGTCTGCTGTTTAAGCCATGCAGCCTGTGGTGTTTTGTTATGGCTGCCCTAGCAGATGAACATAGCCTCCTATAAAGAAGTGACAGTGTGCCACCCACTGCTGCCCCTGAATTTGTGACAGGAATGCAAGTGGCAGCCCTGCTCACAGCTTCTGACAAACATGGAAACTAGGCATATCCCCCACCTTTCCTTGGCTAGCGTGTCTATTCCTAAGAATCTTGGATGAGCCAATGGTAGGGACCTTTATAGTGAGGGAGAGGGGACTATCTCTAGAAGGGACTGAGGTTCCAGGCTTTGACCAAATATTAACCTCTTTCTCCAAAACAGGCATTTTTTTTTTATGCTGGTAAAATGACCATATAATTGTGCGTTCAGTTTAGAAAAAAAATTTTAAATATAGCTTTACTGACCTTTTAGAAAGAGAGAGGAAGGGAGAGGGGGAGAGAGAGAGAAACATCGGTGGGCTGCCTCCTGCACAGCCCCTACTAGGGGTCGAGCCCGCAACTATGGCATGTGCCCTGACCCAAATCGAACCAGTGACCTCTTGGTGCATGGGACAATGCTCAATCCACTGAGCCACGCCCAGCCCGGCAGTTTTGAAATTTCAATTTAGTACTGAAATTGTAATTTTCAGCCTCGAAGGAGAAAATCTAAAAAGACAATATGGCAGATATTGGTGGAGGAAGGGGTGTTCATGAGTATGGTATCTAAAACAAATAAGTTATATGGATAAAAGACTTAAATGTGACTCATGAATCCATAAAAATCCTAGAAGAAAATGTAGGGAACTAAATTTCAGACATCATTACACAGCAGAATTTTCACTGATACATCGCCTAAGGCAACAGAAACAAAGGAGAAAATGAACACATGGGACTACATCAAACTAAAAAGCTTCTGCACAGCAAAAGATACAATCATCACCCTGGCCAGTTTGGCTCAGCGGTTGAGCGTCGGCCTGTGGACCAGAGAGTCCCAGGTTCAGTTCCCGCTAGGGGCACATACCACACACACACAAAAAAGAAAAGATACAATCATCAAAATGGAAAGGCAACCCAATGTATGGGAGAGCATACCTGCCAATGATATATCAGATAAGGGGTTAATATATAGAGTGCTCATACAGCTCAACAAAGGAAGACAAAGAATCCAATTAAAAAATGGGCAAAAGAACTAAACAGACACCTCTCCAAACAGGACATACAAACGGTAAAGAGACATATGAAGAAATGCTCAACATCACTAATCATCAGAGAGATGTAAATTAAAACAACAATGAGGTATCACCTCACACCTGTCAGAATGGCCACCATCAACAAATCATCAAACAACAAGTGTTGGCGAGGGTGTGGAGAAAAGGGGACTCTAGTGCACTGCTGGTGGGAATGCAGACAGGTGCAGCCACTATGGAAAATAATATGGTGTTAGCTCAAAAACTAAAAATTGAACTGCCATTTGATCCAGTGATCCTATTTCTAGAAATATACCCTAAGAAGCCTGAAACACCAATCAGAAAGAATAGATGTACCCCCATGTTCGTAGCAGCACTATTTACAATAGCTAAGATCTGGAACTAGCCCAAATGTCCATCAGTAGACGAATGGATAAAAAAGCAGTCGTACATATACACAATGGAGTACTATGCAGCTGTAAGAAAGAAAGATCTCTTATCCTTTGAGACATGGAAGGACCTGGAAAGTATTGTCCTAAGTGAAACAAGCCAAAGAGAGAAAAACAAGTTTATGATCTCTCTTATTTGTGGAATATAATGAACATAACAGTCTGAGGAATGGGGTAGTAGTCCCAGAGACATGCAAGTGGGGTAGACTGACAATGCCCAGAAGAGGGGGTGGGGGGAGAGAGAAACCACAGAACTTACCTGCATGTGTGCATGAACAATGGACATGGACAACACAGCTGGGGACAGGGCGGGAGGGAGGGGGAAGGGGGAATCAGTTGGGGGGGAAAGGAGAAACATCTGTAACAAAACAAATTAATTAATTAAAAATAAAATGAAATAAAACAAATGAGTTATGGGCAGCTAGGTGAGTTGCTTTCTATAGCACCCTTCTGAGTTTTCAGCCCTCACTGGCTGACCAGAGCAACCTGCTTGTCTGCATCTCTGCCTCATTGAACTTGATGAAACTGTTGTTTCCTGGCGTCCCTATTGGCTGCGTAAAGAAAAGAAGGCTATTACTTAGGGGTACTTGATTCATCTGGAGGGCATAAGAAATAAAGGCAGAGTTTAATTTCAATGCAATTGCATCCACTTTTTAAATTCTTAGAAGAAAGGGCTCACTCATGAAGGGGGCTGAACTAGAAATTGACTGAAGGGAATTTTGCTTTCTTTTCTGCTGGGTCGCTGTGTGCCAAAAGCAACATCCCTCCATCTATAAATATATTTTCTGGATGAATTGGAAAGAGTAGCCACTGCTTCGATCTAAATCTTTTTTTTTTTTTTTTAAACAAAGGATGGGGTGTGGATTGCAACCAGGAACTCTACATTTGAGATGCTAGGAACAGGGTACAGATTACAGGACGGTTTTAGGACTGAGAACCAGTGGATTTTGGGCCCTTAGTCCTTTCATTCTATGGGGCTAGAATGAAACACCTGGAGTGCAGCAGATGATGTCCACAGATTCCTTAGTTCAGCAAAAATGTTTTGTTTTTTCGCTGTTTGTTTTTGCCAAGAATGTTCCAGGCAAAGTTCTTTCCAACAGCATTATTCTAGAATTTAAAGTACGCCTGAGCAGCTCTTCCTTGTGTTTAGTAGAGTGGAGCCGAGCCCTGGGCACCTCACTTCAGTTACTGCGGCCCTATCCTCCAGGGGCCCTACTCTCCAGGGGCTCAGGGCTACTGGGGAGACGTGAGTGATGCCCCCGAAGCAAGCACGAAAATGGCATGTGAGAGCAGAAGACTAAACGTTAAAACGTACTCCAGGGCCTTCACATCTCTGTCCAAAGCGGTGACACACCGATGCCTGGCCTGCCAACCGCAGAGCACCTTGCGGAGGCCAGGGCGGCGCGGCGGGCGCGGGCGCTAGGACCCAGCGCCGTCGGGCGCGGGCTGGGCGGGGCCGGGCGGGGCGGCGGGTGTGACCGCTCGCGCAGCTCCAGCCGGGCCCCGCCGCGGTCTCTTTAAGAAGCGGAGCCGCAGGCGGGCGCGGCGGGCGCTCACGTGAGGCGGCCGTGCGCCCTCACTCGCGGAAGTGGTCCCGCCTCCGCAGCCGGCGCGGGGTCCCCGGGCCCCCCGTGGCCCGTAGCCGGTCGCCGGGATGGTGCATTTGTACAACCTGCACCCGTTCGGGTCGCAGCAGGTGGTGCCCTGCAAGCTGGAGCCCGAACGCTTCTGCGGCGGGGGGTCCGACGCGCTGTTCGTGGCGGCGGGCTGCAAGGTGGAGGCGTTCGCGGTGGCCGGCCAGGAGCTGTGCCAGCCGCGGTGCGCCTTCTCCACGCTCGGCCGGGTGCTGCGCCTGGCCTACAGCGAGGCTGGTGAGTACAGCGGGGCCGGGGCGCCGGGCCCTGCTCGGGGCCTCCTTCCCAGCCCACCGAGCATCCGCCGCAGGGCTGGCGGGGACGGGGTCTTCGGCTTCCGGAAACCGCCGGAAGGTCTCGCGCGGAGGGGCCGCTGCGGGCCGAGTGCGCGCGGCTGTGCTGTTGCCGTGGCAACGGTGGCGCGCGCCGCTGGCGGGGGCGGGGCTGCTGACCGCTGCCCCGAGGCCCAGCCGGAAGAGCTCTGGTTCCGGCTGGGTGCCGCTCGCTTTGCAAAACTCAGGCACTTGAAGGAACAGGGACACAAAGGCGCACAAACTGTCAATCACGTGCAAAGGCGGGGAGACGAGTATCCTGAACCCCCAGGTCCTGCCGCAGTTGGGCCACCCCTTTTACGTCTGTACCTTCCATCCCCTGACTGTCGATTTTTGAAAGCTCACTTTAGATGCTGATTTTAACATTTATGTACGTGGAACGCCACTTTTAGAACGACCTCCACGCCCCCCCCCCCCCAGTCCCCACCTCCACCCCACCCCCAAACAGCTTAGCCGCATCCTCCACTCTTTTCCACCAGAAAAGTGAAGTGTACCAAGGGGACACTATAGGTCCCTATTTTAGAAAACGCCAACATTTAATAATGGGTACTTCTTCAGGTTACAAAAGGATTCACCATAGGGTTTTTTTTAAACTGCCTAATAAACACACTTAGAGTTTGACTCCTCCTTCTCAAGAGGGGCATAAAGGTGTGAGCTGCAGTATTTGCAGTGGAACCTCTCCACTGGCAGAAGTACTTCCGAAGGGGTTAGTAATGTTTTAAAGGTAAAGGTGGAAGCTTGCAAAAGGCGGAGACTGTGCAAAGATGTGTTGCTTGTCTGACCTTTGCTACAGAGCGTGAACCTGGAGGACTGAAATCGTCCTCTAATTCCTTCTGTCTGCAGGGTGTGAGTTTATAGAAGCAGTTTCTATGGGTCTCAGTTTCTGTTTAGAAAAAAAAAGGTGAATCACTAGATGAGTGATGTGCAGACACTGGATTCTGTGGCTCAGTAAAAAACTGGGGCTGCCATACGTAGTATCTTTCTTTGGTCAGTTAAATTTATATTTCTCCCTTCTATTTAGTGTCACCATTATTTATGAAAGGAAAAACAGCCCCAAATGTTGGATGTCTTTGTTTTATGACCAACTTACTACACTGTAATTAGTTTTTCTTTTTGATTTTTTTTTTTTTTTTTTTTTAAGGGAGAGAGAAAGCGCCTCCTGCACGCCCCACACTGGTGACTGAGCCTGCAACCTGGGCACGTGCCCTGACCAGGAATCAAACCGGGACCTCTCAGTCCATGGGATGACACTCAATCCACTCAGCCACACTGGCCGGGCTCTCTCTCTCTCTTCTTTTTTGGTAGTCCTCACCCAAGGATATCTTTTCCTTTGCTTTTAGAGAGAGTAGAAGGGAGGGAGGGGAGAGAAAGAGAGGGCGCAAGAAACATTGATGTAAGAGTCACATTGATTGGTTGCCTCCTGCACTTGGGGCCCGGAATGGAACCTGCAACCCAGGTACGTGCTCTTGACGAGGCATTGAACTGGAGACCCTTTGGTCCATGGGCCCACACTAACCACTGAGTCACATCAGCCAGGGCTGTACGTTTTCTTTTAGCAGAAAATTTTGACTTTGGTATTTCTTACGAAATCTTTTTCAATCATTTCACAGTATTGGTAGTTTTTCCCACCTCACCGCCTTTTAGGCTCAGGAGTTCTCACCATCAAGAGCTCTATTGAGCCCTGGCTGGTTTGGCTCAGCGGTTAGAGCATTGGCCTGCGGACCAGAGAGTCGTGGGTTTGGTTCCCGCTAGGGGCACCTACCAAAAAATAAATAAAGTTTATTTTTTTAAAAAAAAAAAAACTCTATGGAGTACCAAACTCACCTGTTTCAACTTTAGTGTGTGTGTGTGTGTGTGTGTGTGTATGTGAGAGAGAGAGAGACAGAAATACACTGTTTATATTGTCTGCCCCATTCCTCCAAATGGACATTTAGTCTAAAATTGAAAGCGGCAGGTATTATGTAAACTTCAAGGTTTCTTGACTGTCAGTAGTAGTGATTCTGGGGATCCTTGGATGACACTGCTGGTGCATAAAACGCACCTGGGGGAGCTTTAAAAAAATACTGATGCCTGGACCACAACCCAGTGTCAGTTTCCAGGGGTGTGGCTCAGCATTGGGGCGAGTCTATTACTTAGCTGGGATTGAGAATCACTGACCTAGAGCCACACTAGCTGCTGCAGGCAGCGAGTAGGATAATGACCTCATTCATGAGGCCTTGAAAACAAAGATGTTTTTATAGTCCAGTTGCTATCTTAAAGAAAGTTCAGGCGTCCTGTGGAATGTAATCAGCATGAGTCACATAGCTCAAGGATAACTTTCAGTCCTCAGCTTTAACTTCAACCCCTGCGTGCAGCTTCTCTTAGTCTGCACGTAGCTAACTGCTAGCTACTAGCTACGCGAGTATCCAGATAACTGTCTTCCATGTCTCAGCTTTGACTTTCTGGTGTTCTTCCCTGCCACTCAGTAACTTGGACATGAGGATTTTGGGCTCTGATCACCCATTGTCTTCCTCTGTAGGCACATCTCCCCCTGTCAAAAACAGAACAAATCTTATATCAGCCATTTATACAGGGTGGGACAAAAGTAGGCTTACATTTGTTCATATGGAAAATAATACAATAATTAATAATAAAACAAGAATAGACTTTTGTGTACTCACAACTGTAAACCTACGTTTGCCTCCCCCTGTGTCTACTGTAAGTCCTTTGCAGGCCTCTTACTCAAGCAGTAAACATTTTCAGTTTTTAATCTCTAATAGGGTACTATTCTCCTTTCATAAAACTTGGGGGGTGTTAGGGAGAAACTAGGTCAAAAATTTGAATGATGGGTACCCTCACATCCTCAGTAAAGTTAATTGAGGCCTTGTGTGTGGTGGGAGGTGGAGGAGATGTGAGAACTCACTGTTCTGAAGGGAGCAGGGCCTGGTGGCCAGGGCAGAGCGCTGTGTGCTGGGCGCTTGCTCATGAGGCGTCTGGAGGTGGAGGGGCAGGTCGGGTGACCACATGGCCCTCATCACCTGTCCTTGAGTGTGACTGTATTAAACCAGCTCTAGTCTTTTCCCTTCCCCCAAGTCCTGCCCTCCCTAACTTTTCTTAAGTCATAAGACATATTTTGATGCATTGTGTATTATTTCTACCTTCTGAAGTCAATTTTGTCGTTGGAGTGCAGCATTTTCCTTAATCTGGTATTAGTGTTAACCCGGTTTATGATCTTGTTACAGAAAAGGACAAGTGTACTTACTTTTTTTTAATTAAAAAATTCTTTTTCTTTATTGATATTATATAGAGAGAGGAACATCGATGAGAGAGAACTTTGATTGGCTGCCTCCTGCATGCCTCCAACTGGGAATCGGACCTACGACCTGGGCTTGTGCCCTGGCCAGGAATCAAACCAGCGATTTCTTGGTGCTGGGTCGACACTCAACCACTGAGCCACACCGGCTGGGCAAGTATACTTATTTTTAAAAATCAATTACTGGAGCCCTGGCCGGGGTGTCTCAGTGGTTAGAGCATCAGCCCATGTACCAAAGGATTGTGGGTTCGATTCCTGGTCAAGGGCATGTACCTGTGTTGCAGGTTTGATCCCCAGGCCCATTTGGGGTGCATTTGGGAGGCAGCCAATTGATGTGTCTCACAATGATGTTTCTCTCTTTCTCTCTCTCACATCGATGTTTCTCTCTTTCTCTCTCTCACATCAATGTTTCTCTCTTTCTCTCTCTCACATCGATGTTTCTCTCTTTCTCTCTCTCACATCGATGTTTCTCTCTTTCTCTCACATCGATGTTTCTCTCTTTCTCTCTCTCACATCGATGTTTCTCTCTTTCTCTCTCTCCCTCCCACTCTGTCTGAAGATAAATGGAAAAATATCCTTGCGTAAGGATTTAAAAAACAAACAAACAACCATTTTATTTATTAATTTGAAAGGGAGAGGGAGAAACATCTGTTTGTTGTTCCACTTACCTGTGCACTCAGTGGTTGGTGCTTGTAGGTGCCCTGGCCGGAGAGCGCACCCGAAACCTTGGCGTCTGGGGCTGGCGCTCTGACCACTGAGGTACCTGGCCAGGGCTCAGAAAGCTTTTTCAGTCTACAAGTAAAAGAAAGTCCTGGGTGCATAAAGCGTTACAAGGTCTCGTTCCTTTCATGTATGGAGGGCTGTCGCTGCACAGAGCCCTCGAGACTTCCGCTTCCTTTCTGACATTCTGAGACGCAGCCTTATGGGGGAATGAGCATTGGCTTTTGAGCTAACCAAATCCAGGTTGGAGTTCCAGCTCCAAACTTGTTGGCTGTGTTGCCGGAGGCAGGTTACATAGTTGGAGCCTGGATTCCCCAGCAAGGAGGAGGAGGTGGTATCTTAAAGGTCTGTCCTGAAGACTGACTGAGAGAACACGAAAGCTCTGATTTTAAGGCTTATGAGCCACACACACTTCGCAAGTTCTAGGTCATCGTTTATAAAACAGGTTATTGATTTGAAAACATACAAGCCAGCAGGGTGCTATGGACAGTTTGCAGATGATATATGAACAGTTGCTATATACAATTTATTAGTGAAATAGGCATATATTTATAGATGCATAAATAAAACATTTTTACTGTAACTAAAAATATACTTTTAGTTTTAAATTTTATTTGTTAACTTGACTGACACCTGGCAAAAGAAAGAAAGAATAGGCAAATCGGACTTCATCAAAATCAGGAAGTGCTTGTGCGTCACAGGACACCATCAGAGGATCGAGACAGCAGTTCACAGAATGGGAGACAGTGTTTGCACAGCGTGCATCCCACAAGAGATGAATCTGCAGAATGTGTAAAGAACACCAGTAACTCGCCGGCCGGTGTGGCTCAGTGGCTTGAGCATTGGCCCATGGACTGAGAGGTCCCTATTCGATTCCAGTCGGGGCACATGCC